CGGCAGTCTAGAATTAAATAAAGTATATTTAGTTTATTGATTTGATTTTTGAGAAAATGTTCATGTAGACCCTCAGCTGATAGAGCGATGATGTTTTAGGCCCTAAGGAAAGCTTGTAGCATTTTTGTGACCCCTGGAGCTGAGGCTAGCAGCTATGTCTTCCAGTCCCCAGTTCTCCCATGTTAAGATGTGCCTCCTCTTATTTCTCAGGGAAGATTGAGTTAATAGGCTTAATTGTGTGTGGTGTTCATAGACTGTTTTAATAATATTTAATATTCCTTTTCATTTTTCATCTATCACTTTAGCATATAATGAATTCTTCCTTGATAATCATAGATTTTTTTTGTAAAAAAAAATACTATCTTTTTGAGTTTTATACTTCCTTTCTTTGTGATGCATGAAGTTGGAAATCTGTGAATTGACTGAGAGAATATATTAGTCACAGGCAGCTCTGACGTCGGTTCTTTGAGATAACACAGGTAGATGAAAGGAAACGATCTAAATTCTACATTCTGCGTTTAGGGCCTCATGGCTTATGCCTACGGACTAAATTAATTTAGCACTGGGATTAATACATAATTCTCCTTGGTGGTACCTGTGAATAGGAGAGGGGGTGGAGAAACAAAGTTTATAAACGTGGCCTTTGTATCACTCTATAAACCGTGATAGAAAGTCAGTGGGAAAGAGGAAGGCCATCAACAAGATGGCTTTTACACCGTGACTGTAACCCTGGACTCAAACGGAACAACAGTTGTGAGCATAGCGTAGGACCAGGCATGTCTCATTCTGCTGTACACGGGGGCGCTATGCGTCAGAACCCACAAACAACAATGGCAAATGTTTCTCTCCTTTATTGGCTACCATTTTAAAAATACCCTGGATAAAACATAGTCAAGTACCAGTACTCAAAATATTTAAATAGTCTGTAAGGTATTAAATAATGACCATGTTCTCTGTTTTCTGGATACATACTATGCAGTGAATCAGGAAATGCTTTGATGTTAGTTGATACATGATAGACGGTGACAAAGACCCAAAGAACTGAATTATTTAGAGAGTTAGGTTAGGGTACTTCTTGTAAATGTATTCTAAAAAGCACTCTGAAAGTTTGGCCATAAAGTATACCTACCACTCATGCTCACTCATCCTGACCTGCTGTCACCACATACTGTGTGAGAAACTAGAGTTCGTCAAATTACAATGCTTCCGGCCCGAGCCCAGGACAAGATGCGGCATTCCATTCCCACCAATTTGCAGTAATGGCTTAGAAAATACAAACCACCTTCACTTTCAACACAAGAGCAGTTTGAGCGATTCATTTGAACCACCCACTTTCCAGTTTTCAACATTGTGATTCTGTTCAGATCTGCAGAATTTGGGGTTTCTCCAAATTTTGCCTGTGAGTGATTTAATTTTTTTTTTTTTTTTGCTGAAACTCTTCCTAGGAACATTTTTTCCTTATGACTCCTTATTTGAGTAATACTTCCATTTTATTTATAACTTCCAGCACATTGGCTGTGTTTACAGAGTGTAATTAAAAGTACTTTGAAAACCTGCACTTTCGCCAACAGGGCAGGCGTTTTAGGTGGTCCTTTGTTAAAGCAAAGCGCTTTACTTTTGTAATTATTCTTTCTACTTTTGTCTGAACAGTCCTTACTGCTTACACTTTAATCATTTGTTATTTCTTGGCTTATTGTATTACCTTTTGAGTAAGTGAAAAAAATGTCAATGCCTATTCATAATCATCCACACTTTCAGAATGTTTCCCGGTCACATTGGCAGGAAACCTGATGCTTGGGGTCTTTTATCAGTTGTAGGACCGTGCTCATCCAGTGATTGATTTTCTTTCTTTGTGTGAATGCTTATGAAATTGCATTTGTTTTGGCTTGTACAGTGAAATTGATTTGTGTTAGATGCTGTTCATAGTTCTTTTCTGACTTTTAAAGTTCCTATGTGCTTATAGCATATCTTATATAGAATCAAGTGGTAGGGCCATAAATAACATATTGCATTTGTTTAGAATTTTTTCATAATCATCTTTCAATCCATCGTCTTGAACTGTTTGAATAGGGCATCAGAACAATATTCAAGTAATGCTATGAACATTATTTCGGCACTAATTTATTTTCTTGTAGTGGTCATAAAATATTAGATCTGTGAGTTTTCTTGGTAAGCAGTTGAGGAGAGCACTGAGAAATACATATATCTTTGATATCAAGAATTTAAAATATATTAGTTAGGATTTTGCAATCATCGAGGGCCTTTCTTTTGATCTTAGCATATGAAAATTACTTTTTAAAGTAGCATATAAATCATAGTTGTTGTCTGTAATGTTTGATTTTTTATTTTATCCTTTCTTTTTTATGACTTTACTTAAATGTTGCATTAAAGAAAAATGACATGTGAAATTAGGTTTTAAAATTTCCCTTCACAGTAAGCTGTATCCATCATAATTGCACTGCGTTACTGTTTTGATGGTTTTCTGTATAGACATAGATGAGTACCCACTTTTATCATAAATTATTTTTTTAATAGCCCAAAAAGAAGGTTTATTCAGTTACTCAGAAAAACTGCTAAACGTCTATCATTCCATTAAAACAAAATTGTATAAAAATATTTTTAAAAGAAAAATGTCTTCCCTCTAACTAATTTAACCTTCAATAATGAATTGTATGGAATAAAATTGTATCAAAATTCCTGACATTTTGTAAAGATACCTACAAATAAGCCAGACAGCAAATACAATATTTGAAAGAGATGGATACTGAGTAATTTTTGATGGATTATACACACAGGTATCAAATTATTTGATCCTTACTTCCTAGAAAAGGGTAATGGCTCTTTTTGCTTTTACCCTTTTACTTAGCGGTTATTTATAAAGATTAAAACAGTGAATGCATTGAAGGGTGCATATGCCTATGTGTCAGTGCGACGGTACAGGGTTTTCTGATATTATAGGTACTGCACCACAAAATGGATAGCATTATAAATCATTATTTTTAAAGTTCATTCAATTCTGCACTACAAGTTTGCTAGGATTGTTGGAACAGAATGCACCATCCAGAGCATTTAACTTAAACAAAAGAAGACTTTAAATTGTGCATATCCAGTTCTCCTATTATAAAAATAGTCTACACTCATACAATAATTCATGTTAGATTTTAATAATAAAGCATTTTAAAAGCAAAATCTGGTAAAAGTCGTATGTGTGCAGAAAATTCCCCCCCCCCTTAATCTATGGAAGTTATAGATTTTTAAAGCATACTTTAGTTTTAGATTGAATAAAATGTAGCAAAACAATGTGTATTTCCTTGTTGTCAAAGTCTATCATTGATTACTGAGCCTATATGCCAAACAATTACCAGATACCTATAGTGGACTCTATATATATGTCTTCTATGGCTCCACTAGAGAAAGTGTTACAATATGTCATTATATAAATGATATACAAGAGTAAATCACAGTCACAGGTAACTCTATAAAACAAAAATATCAAAACATACAGCTATTGTTTCTCACCATATCCTCCATCCAGGGTTCCACTCCTCTGAAAGCAGCATTGTCATCTCTTTGATCTTCCCCCGAAGAATTCTGCCCTCTTTGGTGTACACCACATCCAAATGGCAGTTCTGCCAGCCTTGAGGGACTCAAATCATGTTCCTTTTAAAAGTTCTTTGAGCTGGGCAAGGAGAAAAGTCGTCTAAAGGTCCAAGGTCAGGACTGTAAGGTGGATGAAGTAAGGTTTCTCAAAGAAATTCTTTAGAACATCCCTGCAACTCTCCAAGAATGAGCAGGTACATAGTCAGGATGTGAAGAAACTCCTTGGCACTACTTTTCTGGCCATTAACTCATCGGTGAAACTTACCATTTTCTTAAAACTTAATACACCTCCACGATCATCCTGTGCCCTTTGAGAGAATCTATCAAGATTACCCCTTGGAGATCCCCCAAAGAAACTCCTCTGAGCTGACCTCTCAGCCACTCAATAGATCCTCTCAACAGTCATTGATTCAATTGGCTCTTGTTCTTTGTATTGTGTTGGTTCTTTGTATAGTATTGGTAAATCTAAGGTTTGATTTTTTTTTTTTAACTTTTTACTGTAATTGTTTTCTTCAGCATCAAGATTGCTTGGGAAAATCAGACCTTTGAGCTAGCTGATCTTTATGTAGTGCTTTATTTTCTTCCTCCTCATGGCATTGTAGGTTACATGTTGAACTGCTAAACACAGGGTTACCTGTTTGAAACTATCAGCCTCTCTACAGAGAGAGATGGGACTTTTTACTTCCCCAAAGACTACCGTTTCTGAAGCTCAGAGGGACAGAACTGGCTCACTGTCAGTGAGGGTTTTTTTAATTAAAATGATCCACAGTGGTATAATTGGGCTACTAAGTGCACAGTTGGTGGTTTAAATCCACTAGCCACCATTAGGAAGCAAAACCCTATGGAACATTTCTGTATTGACCTATGAGTTGGCATCGACAATATTGCCATGGGTTTGATTTGGATTTTTTAATTGATGGCTCTCTAATGAGAGGTTAAGCTAAATATATTACAGAGAAAATTTGTCTGCAGCCACCATTGATCACAGAGACATGCTTAGACACTTTTTATATAGAATATGTTCATGTGTGAACAGAAACCCTAATAGCGGTACTTTTTTCTTGATCTTCATATTTATTATTCTGTAGCACAGGTTGCTTGAGTTTTATAACCAAATGTACCATTCCTTTTATTAGAGTATCTCTTTTCCAGTTCTTTGATTTGAAAGGAGTAATCAGAAATGCATTTAATTAAAGTCGGGTATTGGAACACTTGAGTTTAAAGCAAAAGGATAAAATATCTTTTCTGGAAACACCTAGGAAGGATTTTTTGGGGTACAAAGAGAACAGCAGCATTCATCAGATGGTGACCTCGTGGTGTAGCAGCGGTGGTCAAATCTGTGCCAGTTTAACTGGAAGTGAACTCAGGAGTGTAACTCGCCACTTTTTTGTGTCTTTCAGATGTGTGGAGGTCATTGCAAAAGAAGGACAAAACCTGAAAGAGCTGTATTTGGTGTCCTGTAAAATCACAGATTATGGTATGTAATGAGACATTCCTATAAAGTGTTTCAAAATTTCTTTAAATTACAGATGTAATTGAAAGGGATTTTAAATAAAGAAATTGTGCTAAATCTGATATGACAAAAAAATTAAGAAATCAGTGAGACTAAGAACCAGAGGAAAATGGATTATGTATCACAATTTATTGCCTAACACAACCACAGAAATGCAGTGCATTCACACACGTTCACACTTAAAGTATGGCTACAAGAACTAAATAATAAAAATAAATACAGGGTCAATTACATATTTTATATAGTAAGTATAACCAAAGAAATTATTACATTGGGTTGATGTTTAATTTACACCATGTCATATGTACTTGTGCTAATATTAAATTAGAAACTTAACTTTTTATATTTTTAAAAATAATTGGGAAATGTCATGCTTTCATATATGGTTTTACCTTTGTAAGATTTTTAAATTAACTTCATTTTACTATTTTAAAAAAATCATTTTATTGGGGCTCATACAACTCTTATCACAATCCATACATACATCATTTGTGTAAAGCACACTTATACATTCATTGTCCTCATCATTCTCAAAATTCACTTTCCACTTGGGTTCCTGGAATCAGCTCCTCATTTTCCTTTTTCCCCTCCTCCTCCCTCCCCGCTCCCCCCTCCCTCATGAACCCTTAATAATTTATAAATTATTTTTTATCTTATCTTACACT